TAGTTAGGCAGGCCACTGACCCTTTGACCTCCTCTATGGAGGTGGTAAATTGTACCTCGTGACCTCTATTGTACCCCCTCAGCAGTGGTGAGGAGAAGTACCATGCACCTCCTTAAAGGTTGCGGTAAGTTAGGTAGGGCAGGTACATAGCTTAGTAGGTAGGGGGTACGTGTGGAAGAGCTTACCATAGGTACTGTACTCGAGGCGAAAGGTAGATTGATGGGCAGATCACAAGCTTGATAGGAGGTAAATACCATCCTACCGACCGACTCAGAACCCCAAATATTGATCAACGTTGTGCTTCAGCCTATGATCAAGTCAAGGTTGTCTGACCCGGTTTCGGAATGGAGCCCGGGCCTCGTGATGAGTTGCTTTCCATTCCACCGTCTATTCGCTGGGCGCTTCGCCCCGATCTCCAGGAGCAAACGCTCTTTCCTCCCAGTATGTCGCCGAAATTCATTCCCTTGCGCTCAGGGCCCTTCTATGAGGGGAGGACATGAGCGTGTGAGCGTGGGCGAATCAGTCTCGGGAGTTCGGCCACTTGTGAAAACGAGGCTTTGGGTGGTGGCCCGTCTTGAAGGATTTTGCTTTGGGCTGCCGTCGATAGTCATAATTCGCATGGTTGTTCAAATGATCAAGCTACAGAACAAGAGGTATATGGATGGATGAATGGTGCAGTGGTTGGGCAAAGCGGCGGTGCCCGTTTTCCAGTCACTGAGGTGGAAGATGGGTTATCCTTATCAGATGGGCACCGGCCAGTCATCGACAATTCGATGTTGTCTGCGCTCAGACAGCGAAATGGGTTGGACTAGGCCCTGAAGGGAAGAAACAGCAACTCTTCAATACCCGGGTGATTATTGGAGACTTTCCGCCATCTTATCCGTTAGATCATGAGTCAATAGGGTAGAATCGCGGTTTTCACCTTCATCCGGATCGATGCCGAATTCCTCATGTTGGACAGCAGCATTGGAAGGTCAATTGGTCAAGGATCCCAGGTATAGTACGAAGTGCCCCTCCCTCCCTTTCCTACTCAATCAAGGTCCCTTGTAATTCAAACTATTTCCTCACTATCTGGGCCTTTTCTTTTATCGCTGACAAGAGTTGCACCTCCAGCCGAATGATTTTTAGTCAACGCGTGTAACGTGCAATGAAGACCAACGGAACCCCAAGTACTCAACACTTCCAGTGACAATCGAATTTGTACCGAACAGGGCTATCCCTTGCATTTTCTTTTTCTCTTTGGGCGCTTTGGTCATACACATACTACTTTAGTCTACGAATTGAGGACCTACCTACCTTGTGCTGTCGCACGGCGTACAAGTATGCACATCATCCGCCACTAATCTTGCCGAGTGCGCGCCCAACCTTGCAGGATCTTCGTTCAATCATAGCCAGTTGAGTCGACAGATCGAGAAAGCGAGAGGTTATTCCCCCTCTTTTCTTGTGAGTAATCGAGAGGGGGGAAATAGTTACTGGTTGCTCTCTTTCTCTCTCTGTCTACCCCGAATATTATTATTTTTTTTTCCCTTTTCGGAAGGAAAATCAGAAGAAGTGAAATCCTCGTTCAATTCTCCGAGACCCTTTTTTTTTTCATATCCTCGACAGACCGAGAGGGATCGAACAAACAATGCCGGCAGCCGATGGGCGGGTTCCAGGAGACGGGATCGTGGGAGGATACTAACTAAATCTTCGCGGATCGCCTTATGCGAGAAGAGAAGAAAGTGGAATAAGACATCCATCATCCATGACAAGCGGAGGGGAGGGGGTGGATCTTGATTGGTGGTGATGAGTATCAGACTTCTTTTCGTTTGGACGGGAATTCTGAACGAATGGATCTCAATATGAGAAACTCGAGATTCATAATACCTGCCTCTTATTAACTAGCACTAGTACCGACCTCATTGTGTTGGTCGGTTAGTCCCAGCTGGGTTGGGACTGAAACGTTAGTATAGTATTGTGACGGTCCAGCGACCGTGGCTAAATAGAACATCGATCCCCTCGACGATCACGGCCGTCAAAACTGCCCCAGTCTCTCTCCACCCGACGACTTCAGCAAGAGAATAAGCTCGATTCCCTACCGTTTCCCCAAACTGACCAGGTACTGTACTACTGTGACCATTCTTCGAGCGGCCTTGATGATATGGAAACTCGGCAAGCAGATCAGAATAATGATCCGTTACGTGCATTTCTTCAATCTTTCCCGTAGTACTTGCATCAATCAACGTCAACGTTTTGGCTCCTCTCCCGGGCGCGAGGTCTTACAAACTGAGGCTCAACCTGAAGGGGATTCCCGCCCGCGGTACTACCGAATGTGGATCGCATTACGAGGTACAGTACTGTACACCAAGCGAAGCCCAGCCCCCCTTCCAGTGGCGAGATGGGGAGGTCGCCAGAAACAGGAGCCTTGAGGGTCGGGTCTCTAGGAACTCGAGGTCTGAATCCTCTCCACGATTAATTTCGTATGGAGAACACCCGGTAAATGAAGAATACCAGTGCTACAAACGGTGTTTGGTGGAGCAAAGGTCGACCGGTGACGTTTGTTTGGCGATCGGTGTTGATCAACAATCCTTGTAATTCATCCGCACTGGCAGTTTTTCTGCCCGTAGATTACCGCGCCCCGAAGGTCTCTTCCACGGTTGATTATTCCACGGTTCGTTCCAGGGGGGGGGGGACACACTGACTGAAACTTTAGAATAGATGCCAACGGAAGTTAAACCAGGGAACGATATCGCCACTATGCTTTCGCTTTTCTGGTTGTGGGGTCGGAATCAGATCCAGTAACTTGCCGGTAAGTTAGTCCTCTCCAGCCTGGAGCTCTTACTGAGTAACTAAAGGAGCGCAAGCAGCAGCAGCGGCAGTTAGCCAGGAAAAGTGGTAGTAGCTAAGCTAGCCAGCTACCTAGTCCGAAACATATGCATGTCAAAGTGTCGGGCAGAACATGGATTGTGGCGTGACCCTCAGCTTCTTCAGCATGAGGTAGGGTGGCGTATTGAATATGAAAAGTATAAAAACATCCCCTTATTTTCATACTTTTGTATAAAAATATTGTCCTATTTTTTAATTCTATAATATATAGCTCAGTGGTTACTATTTTTATTAGTAATTTTAATACTGTAAAGCCCCGAAGGAAAAAGTTTTTTTTTTCATTTTTTTTCCTTTTCTACTATAAAAAATCTTAAATTTCCAATAATTAAAAATAAAATCGTTTACTACAACTATATCTAAAGTAAAAAATATAATAATCAAAATTCTTAGGTTCATATATATAGATATATATTAAAATTTTAGAAATATATATTTAAATAAGGGCCTAATCTGCAGATTTTTTTTAATTTTTAAACCAGCTAATATAATTAGTCATGTAACTGAATAGTAAAGTATACAATCATAAACCCTTATTTTATATAACTAAAGCAACAAACAATAAATTTTGTGATTTACAACTCCCTAGCATAAGGTTAACCATCACTCACTCACTTGATGACTGTTTGCATCGACTATTGGAATCTGTTGTCCACTGCATGTCACTTCGGTTGTTTCTCCGCCTTTTCGAGGCGCCTCGCCGCCCGGCAATCTCTCCTGAACCGCTGCACTACTTATGTAACAACACTCACCGTCTTCTGCTTTTTTCCCCCCCGGGGGCAACCTTATCACCCCTCCCCCTCCTTCCCCCCGGTTCAACCTCTCGTCGTTCGCTGCTCGCAGTATTGGATGCATTCATATTAGGCATCAACGCTCGTGGCCGGGTAGAGGGGAACCCTACGAACGAAGAGCTGACCGCTCAGTCAGACAGACGCCTTGAAGGTAACGGATGTCGCCCCCTTGTCCATAGTCGAAGGATCTACCTTAGATCACAAGAGACAAGAGACAAGAGTAGGAGTCCGAAACATTATTTACTGTACTGTATGTACCTAGTCGAATGGGCACCGAGAGGCCGGAAAAATGGTTCTAACAACAAACAGCAAGCATGCTTGAAGCAACCAAGCACATGTAAACTTCCGTGCTCCTCCCAATTCTACTCGTTCGTAGCTTGATGTCTATCCATTCTCGGCTGGTGGGCACAGGGATTGGATCATTCTTTGATGGACAAATCAACTTCGCAGTCCCTTTAGATCATTTTATTCTTCAACAATGCCCCATTGAGCATCAAACCATCGGTCCATCATTCCCCTCCACCCCTACCCATACCGCATATTCTCCCTCCCCGATGACTATCTTTCTTCTTTATTGACACCCCCCGAGTCTTCTACCACATGTGAATAGGATAGCCGGCCCCAGGCGCTTTTGGGCACCGATCATATCCTGGTCCATCAACCGACCATCAGCCGAAGAAAAGCCGTTCTCGATCGGACCCGATAATCAAGGCAGTATCATCTATGGCGTTCTCGGTACCTACTGTCTGTATCTCTGTATCTGTCAATGGTATATGATCGATGTTGAATCAATTGGGGTCACACCCTAGCTCTTAATCTCTGGTACACCTCCATGATATTTTCCTTGCTTCCCCCTTCTACTTAGTATGATTTTTTCCCATATAAGCCTTTTGGGTCAAGCCGAGCGAAAGTCCAGTCAAACCCATGTGGCACTTGGGAAGCACCGGAACTGATTGCGGGCCCTTCCCTCTCACCCTCGCATTACAGCTTCTCTCTGTCTTTCCGGGTCCCTCCCCATTCTTCCACTTTCAGCGAGTTCAGTTTCTGCTACTACGGGTGAATATCTCCAGACGATCAAGAATATGAAGGGCTTTTAGTTACCGATGTACATGTACTCCGTACTCTGTAGCTTTTTGAAAAAGGGCTGTGTTCATGATGAACTGCTGCCCGGCTCCTACGATTCACATTTTTAGTCAATCCTAGCCTATCAGCAGCTCCAGTCTGCGGCTCCACTTGCTGCGCGCGCGCCGCTCTTCACACACAATGTTTTAATTTCCACACGCGCGCGGATTTTCCCTTCAGGGACTATATTATTTTCTTTCCTCTTGAGTTTGGGGATCATCTTATTTTAATTTTATCTTTTGCGGTGGATCACCAGATCCTGGACTTGAAGATAGGTGGTCGATGAGGAAACGGGGATCTCCAGAGAGACAATATTTAAAAAGGCTTCTTCTTCTTCTTCTTTCTATTTGCAAAAGAAAGACCCAAGCGGAGGACAGCCCAGACCAGCCCGGCAGTCCCTCGAGAAAAGCGATCTGTCAATTTCGGTGGCTTGTGTTGATTCATACAAACCAGGATCATGGTTCGGGCCTACCAGTCCCAATTTACCTGAAGGAGACCATGCAAGCAAGCAAGCAAGCAAGCAAGCAGGCAGGCGGACAAGCAGGTAGGCAGGCAAGCAAGCGAGAAAGAGGATGAAGAAGAGAACAGTAGAACTATGTGTAGTTTAGCTGGTCTAGCAGCAGCAGCAGCAGCAGCAGCAGCAGCGGCCGGACTAGAATACGGAACAGTTGAAGACAGGGACTCTGGGGAAGAAGGGGTCCAGAAGGGTTGCGCAGCCAAAGTGCAGTGAGAACTGACTGACTACTTTCGTTGTTTTCTGAAAGGATCGTAGGGGCAAGATACACTACCTAACTACTCCGTATAAGTTACCTACTACTATTGTCCGTTCCCTCTTATTGTAATTGTTCTTGTTGTTGTTGTTGTTGTTGTTGTTGCTGTTTCGCATCCGATCCGTCCTTCTTCCCCTCCACTAGTAAAAAAGTCAATTAGCAAGCAGACGGAGGTGATAGAAATGATGAATTGTGGTAGAAGTAGTAGCTTAGAGGTAGATTGTTTTGAAGGGAGAAAGGGAAAGAGAGAGCTTGAAAGAGACTTGGAGGGAAGAAAAGAGGGGCATCAACACCCTTCAACTTATTCATCAACTTCTTCCTGCCTTTACGCCGTTTGTCTGATACTTCAATTCTTTGCTCATCACGCACATCCATTCCTGTTAGTATTAGATTATTTTATTCCGATTTTCTATCTTTCTATCTTTGCTTCCTTCCTTCGTTTCTTTCTCACTTTGGAGCCCGACTTCTCCCCCCGTTTTGAGTGAGTGAGTGAGTGAGTGAGTGAGTGAGTGAGTGTGAAATTCCTCTCTGGGTTCCTTTCCCCTCCCCCTTCCACCATCAGCAGCAGAAGAATAATCTATCTATCTATCGTCATTCTTTCTTTCCAGCATTTCGATCCCGCACCTCACTAACCTTCTACCTTTTACCCCATCAGATCAACCCGCTGTTGCCGAGAGAGGACCGACGGACTTTATCTTGTTCTTCATTCAGTCACCAAGCGGGAAGTCACTGCTTCAACAACTTATGCCCAATTCCAGTTTAACAGTTTTAATAATAATTCCGTCGAGGATCCATCCATCCTCCATTTTACACCCACTTTCGACTTTCCACCACCATTTTCTCTTTCTTCTCCCTTTAGTTTTACCACCCCCCCTCCTCCCTCCTCCCTCCTCCCTCCCCCCGCCCGGTAGCCCCGTTCTGCTTCCTTCTGGGACCCGTTGCCGAAATTCTCTCTGTCTTCTCCTTCCCTTCTTCTTAAGGAAAAAGAAGCCCACACAACCTGAATCCTCCGAACCTCGACCACCGTTCGATCTACCGCTACGACCTGACTACTGAGTACTTCCTACTCCTAGGTAGGTACTATCCACTCTATCCAGGTAATCACTTTATCCACTCTCCTCCCCTTCCTTTCTTCTTCCTGCTCTTCCCCCCCCCCCGGGCGACCCGACAGCTTGGCTTAGCTACCTGCCTAAACATCTCCCGCTGGATCGAAAAACTGCCAGACTTGATTGACCTCCCGTCGTCGGCGTCGTATTTATTTTTCTTTTCTTTTTCCGTTTTTACCCTATTGGGATCATTCTTCTTTTGGGGTTATTCTTTGGATCGTTTATTATTTCATTATCATTATTACTATTATTTTATTTAATTTGACCTGGAAAACACACCCATTGCGTATGTTACACTTCCACTTAACTTTCCTTCTTGCCTTGCTTCTTCTTTTCTTTTCTTTTCTTTTTCTTTTCTCGAGTTTCTTTTTCATGTTGTTGCGTTGATTTCTGTTTTCCCCTCTTGTGATGGAATTGCTCTTTCTCTCCTCCTCCGCCTTTCCTTCTCCTCACACATTCTCTCTCACATGACATGCACGAAGCCTGACACCACCAAACGTCTCTAGGAGTCTGGGTAATGCTCCCTCTTGCAGCTGGGACATTGTATCTGAGACTTTCTTTGTCTTCCCCCTCTCCAAGTGCTTACCGAGAGCGCTGCTACTACGACTAGGCCGACTCTGACGACTGTCATTCTCCAAACCCCCTTCCCCTCCCGATAGAGCTCGGTGTCTGTGATTCTCGTCCAGCCAGTCTATCGGCCTATTTTCGACGGCCACTAATAGTAGCCACACACTCTGACCGTACATTCATCCATCCATCCATCCATCCATCCCTCCACGACAAACCAGTCTCGGTGTGTTCCACTCCTCTCACTCATTGATTTACCTTCGTCTCTCTACCTGCGCGGATCGTTGGCGGTTGTCTCTTTCTTCTTCGCTCTCCCTCTCTCTCCCCCCCCCCTCTTCCCCCCTCCACCGCCCCTCCTCCAACCCCTCTCCCCTGCTATACATGCAACTGTTACCCGTCCTCTCACGCATTTTATACATGCGCCTTGAACTCTACCGGTCTTGTGGTTGATTTTCTTGTGTTGCGACCGATGGCCGAATGATATTGCAAGCACGGCTTGCCCCCTAGCCCTGTGTCTGTTTACTACGATGTGCTGCCTGCCGTCCCTTTAATCCCTCACTCTCATCACCTGGTTTGCGAACCCTGTACGGCCAAAATGCTCCTTTGTTGCTTGATCACTCGGCCATCCATTCGACTCACGTTCTCTATCCAAACAAAGCTAACGATTGCCAGGCTACTTATTCGCGCAAGAAGCGACCACTTCCTGCTGATCCTTTCTTGCCCCCCACCTCGCGATTCTATCGCTACCGTGAAAGGTGCGGCGCATGGTCTTCCTTGGTCCAGTCTCGAGCAACAAAGAGGATCGCACAGCTCTGAAGCCAATTGCCGAGACCAATTTGACACGCAACGAAGAAGTTGCTATCGTATTTTCCGACACCCTGATCGCTGGACGAGGTGCAACTCTTGCCAGGGGCGGCTCAAGTTTTCCATTTACCCCCAGCACTCCGGCCGCACATCAACAGCATCTGTGCTCATTTCGATCGTAACCATGTCCTCGTGACTGTATGGCCTACCATTGAGTTGATTATCGGTTGTTGATCTGCGACAATCAGACGCTCCGGGCTTAGCCCGCAAGTCTCTGTTCAACAGAAGCCCAAACGCAGCCAGGTTGTATCGACTGGGCATCGCCCATCGCACTTGCTCGCTTCAATGCATCGCATCCCGCTCCCCGAAGGATCGCATGGTCTGCCCAGCACGTCCGGCGTGTTTGACCAGCCATGGCGTCCTCCATACGCGCCTTCTTTCGACCCCCACCCCGCGGACCAGCGGCGCACGTCGAGCGCACCTCAGCCTCCGCTGCACTCGCACCCGTACTCTGTCATGTCGAACCGGGAACTGCCGCAGCTTCCTCCCGATGGGCCATATGCTCGGCAAACCAGTCTACCTGGACCACCAACGCATACCCCCCCAGAGACGCATCCGCCGCCACCTCCACCTCACCCTAATTTCCGCCCGCCGATGAACGGAGCGTCTCATGAGCCGACGCCTCATTCCGCACCACCAGAGTATCGGCCTCCAGTGGCACGAATGTCGTTCCCTCCCCCAGAGACGCCTGGGGTTGTCGGTGACCCTGCACCGCCCCCACAAACCTTACCCCCAGCTCCGTATACTCCACCGGTGCCCCTCTCACAGACCCCTACACCTTACGATCCTGCCTACTATCCAAATCAGGCATTCGGGATGCGCCATCGCAAGGCAGCTCGGGCTCAACAGGTAATTGAACGTCTTCTTCTCTTGGAACCGTGGCCGCTATAAAATTGTGTCGACTGACTTCCGTAATGTCGCTATCCTTCAAGGCGTGTGATCAATGCCGAGCAAGAAAGGCCAAGTGCGATGAGGGTCGTCCGGCATGCAGTCATTGCAAAGAAAATAACTTGATATGTGTTTATAAAGAAGTGCCCCCTCACAAGTCTGTGATCCACCCTCCCTTCTAATTCTAGGTCTTGGTGATCGCATGCTGACGGCCTCCAAAGACAAGAAAGAGCGACCCAACAAATGATGGACCGTGTGCAACAGCTGGAGGATGCAGTGATAGAACATATACGACGGGTGGTATCAATGCAAGTTGAGCAAGGGAACCAGCTCACGGCTATTTTGCAAGGAACCGGAATTTCAGACACCAAAATCATACAGGCTGCCGAGACGCAGAAACAGTCACTCAGCCGACTGTCGAAACCAGACATCGCCGATCTCCTCCAAAAAACCGAGACCAAAGACGAGACAATATCCAACTTTGTGAATCGGGAACTCGAGAAGGCTGCCGAGGGGGAGCCACAGATGCTGGTGACAGGCGAGGACGGTGAACTTTCTATTCCCGTTGAACATACCACGGCGGCCCACAAACTGCTCATGTGGCCGTCAATCAAAAGCCTTCTTTCCCCGCGCGAGTATGACGAGGATTATGTGATGAGGCTTGAGGAAGAACGCGGTCTGATCCTTGTTTACGGGCGGGGTGAAGGCCATAACGACAGTGAGGACCTGACCGCATCACCACCGCCGAATGGGAATCCTGCCCGGGATCATACCTACGCAAATGATGCGGCAGCTGGTGGACCATGGGGTCCCGTACCTCATCAGAAAGGCACACCCGTCAGAACCAGGCCAGACGCTCTAGATGAGAATGGGCACTTTACTACGGATGCCGCTACCGTTCGCTGTTATTATCAGAGCTACATGGATCACATACACAAACTCCACCCGTTCCTCAACCAGAATGAACTGGAAGAACGAATGGAAAGATTCATTACACGGTACTGCCCTCCGGCAAATGCAACTCCAGCGCCCATTCTCAACGGCAATGGCAATGGCCCGCGGAGCGCAAAGCGAAAGCGATCCTGCGAGACTCTGCATGGTGTGGGCTGCGATGTCCCATCTCCCAGCTCCATTACGCCCGATGGCGGCCGTCGTGTCGAGAAGTCTTTGAAAAATGCAATCAGCCTTCTAGTTCTTGCGCTTGGTAGCATCTGTGCAACCAAACCTCCCGTTCCTGGACCGGTTACTGATGTCCCTCTAAACTTTCGAGATGAGTGGATCCCAGGTCCTACCTCCCGAAACATGCTTTCACGGGCAGATTCTCTGTCAGCCGTGCCACCACAAGGCAGCTTCTATTCTCAGGATGGCCAATCCTTTTCTTCGATGGATGGTCGCAAGGCATCATCGGATCGCACCGGGCAATCGTTCCACCCCCGGAAACCGCGGAACATAGATGTCATTCCCGGCCTGGCATTTTATGCATATGCGACCCAGATCTTGGGAAGCTTACAAGGTGCGAATGGCCTTGACCATGTTCAAGCAGCCTTACTTGCAGGATTATATGCCGGACAACTGGCGCACCCTTTTCAGAGCCACGGGTGGATCTATCAAGCAG